AGAGAGAGAGAGAGAGAGAGAGAGAGAGAGAGAGAGAGAGAGAGAGAGAGATTCGTATCGATGAAATATCAATTTGTTTCTCAATTAAAATTCGCGCCTACTTACCGTTGTTCATGCAGCTTTCAAACAAATGTTTCGCCTTTACAGTAGCGTCATCAGCATCCAACTGAGCGACATCGTGCGGTACGGAGTCTTGTAGTAGCTCTCTCAATACGAAATCCAACGATTCGCGCAGCATTTCGAAGGTATCGTAACCGGCTTTATCCTTGGGAATAGGATTACGTTTCGCCCAGTTACCACAAGCGTATTGATAAAAATCCCGACACGGATCCACACTCTTATCCATGTATTTCAGCATTATCCGAGCTACGGCGACAATAATCAAGAGAACGAGAATATTCGAGAGATATAAGAGACTGAGAGTACTAAGTAGAATAAGATGTACTCGGCCCGAGACATACCTCGGGCCTCTCTAATATTCCTGGCATTTCCCTCTTCTCTCCAAAACGTACGAAGATCGGGAACGTCAGAACTGTCGATCGAACTGTCAATCTTGTCGCGTTCGTCGACCGTCGGTAACCACGTCTCGGTGTCGTTGATAAAATAAGAGAATGCACTATCCTCTCGAGTTCTCAGCGATTTCTCTCTCGGCCGTTCGTTGACGCCCATGCCGTCGTACTTGTTGCTGAACGACGACGACGACGTTCTTCTCTTTCTGGAATATCGGACAAGTTCATCGCGATGATCGGAATCTACAACGAATCGAAAAGCGAAGTAGTATCAAACTCACTCGGAATAATAATCTTTGCTTCCACTGCTTTCATAGGTGTCGTCAACTTCTACTTCCGGGTAGTGATTACCTAAAAAATTGTTCATCTTTTCGTCGAGATCCTGTGCATCGTTACCCTCGATCGTATCGCCGTTCTCTACCTGTGCAGCAACGCAAGATATTGCAATAAGAATTATAATTGCGACTGGCAAGATATTCGATCACACCTTTATTTTATCAATGTGATTGACGTTGTTCGAAATCGAAGAGAACTTTCTCATCATATCATTTTTCTTGATCGATTCTTTCCTCGAAGAAACGGAATCTGTTAATTTGCCGTTATTTAAATTTTCATATGCGCGCAACAAAGACATCATCCGATTGTCGAATTTATATAAGACGCGAGATATCGGTCCGTTCCTCGTGCGATTTTCCTGAAAAGATATCGTGTCGTCTTCGGGCCGTTTTCTTGCTATATCGAAGCTCGCTTAACAAAAAAACTGATGAATAAATATCTCTCGAGGACGCGGAGGGAGGAGAAAAGAAGAGCAGAATAATGAAATGTTACAATAACAGAGCGAGATGTGAAAAGGAGGAAAGATGATGTTGTTCAGTTAGCATTGTCTACTTAAACCGCTTTGAATTTGCTTGGAGATGAAGTACCCCGTCAATGTCTCTTTTACGTCGTTTGGGCGATCGAAGCAGCGGATGCGTATCTACAGGCACATAACTTGTTTTCATATCGGGAAGTAGAATTCGATCCTCGTCTTCGACCTCTTCCGCCGCAAGTTCTATGTCGTTGCGACTGGTAGCTGAGATATACAACGCGGGAAATTAATTAATCTTTCATACAGATCGTTATTGGAAGGACTTTTTTGCGTTAACAATATATTAATATGTGTACTAACCCTAGGTTACCACACTAGGTAAATTTTACCCCGTAAAAAATTTGTTTAAGGTAAAACTTTGCGAGTCTGCCATTTTGGGAATTATCAATTTTTTTTTATAAGCAAATCAAGTCTAGCGTTTCGATGGAAAAATAATTTTTTTTTAAATCAGTTGACTCTTGTGAAAGTTGTAGCGAAATATATGACATGGGGTAGTCATTATCCAAGTGCGTCAGACCCGTGATTTTGTGAAAGTGTAGTATCCTAGGGTTAATTGTATAAATAAAAGAAAACTCTCTTTCTCTCTCTGCCATGACGAGATATGAAACTTACGCCAAAAACTGTTAGCCTCTATTTTTCGCTCATTCTGCATATCATTGTAAGCAGCGGAGAAGGCGTCGCGCACCCGTGACTCGGGAACTATCCCTTGTAATCGCGACAATGCGATAAACACTATAGTAATCGGCAGTAGCACGACGGGTATCAGGAGCATTAGCTTAACACGCCGCGTCTCGTTTCCGCCTGTGCACCATCTGCATTATGCAAACAATTCACTCGCTCATAAAAAGCATTCAAACTGAAAAACTTTAAGAAGAGAAATGAGTGGCGCGAATGTGACACACTTGAGTCTACCGGTTTCCTGGTTAATCGCCAATCTGCACGATGGGCACGGTCCATCACCGAACAAATCGTCGTCGTCGTCATCGTCGTCGTCATCGTCGAATCGATTCGAATTATCACCATTCCGCATTTCCTCTGAGAACAATGTCACTAGTAAGAGAAATTAATACAATAAAGTATTATGTGCCAAATATTCGCTATATGCGGCAAACAGCAATCGGATCACTTTGATACGACAAATTCCCACAAATTCCCACAAATTCCCTTTTCGCAACCGATTATGCGTCTTTCAACGGATCGCCGTTGTTACTCTTACTTCGCGATGAAAAAAGAAAAAAAATCTCGAACTTTATTGGGAAAAGGCCGGCGTACTCATCGCACGATAAGCCAGCGCGAACGATCTGTTAAATACGCACAGAGATCGAGAGGATCGGACGGATGATGACACGAGCGAAAGCACGAATGTTAATGGTAGCTCGTCGTGTTGTAGTGCGTCGAGTACGCGCTCTTCTCTCTTTGGGAGCGATTTACATACGTGAATACATAAGATCGGCCGCCTCGACCAACCCAATCGTGAGAGTAACGATCAAGCCGGAGCTTGGCCACGGCTTTGTACGCGCACGCACACGAGAAACACTTTACTCCGCGCTCCTTATGTCAAATTACTCGTCACAATCGACCCTAATAACTTGCAGTTATTCTTCAATAACACGATACGCTGTATTTCACATTCCGTACGCGACCACGTCGTCTTGCTGCGCATTCATCTCCCATCGTACTACTACATCTCATTGATCGTTTTACTTCAGTATATCCGTTTGTCTGATAAACGGCTTAGTTGTACGTATAAGAATGATAAAGATACGTGTAAACATCTATAAACAACGGCGCGTGAAAATATCGATGCACGAGCATATATTGCCCACTCACTCCTGGCGTTATAGTTGCCTTTGATGAGATAATCGCCATGGCTGGCTAACATGTTCCAACGAAATCTATTGAAATCGTTTGTACTCATCTTCTATGGGACGGCCTTCGTTATTGTTAAAGTGACGAAATCGTAGATGTGTCACATGTACGGTGTTAACATCTTGAAAATGACACTGGCCCGTTCAACGTTCTCAAACGACAAACAATTGTTTTTACTATCGAAATTGTCTGGAACAATGTTTAGATATCAATGAAACATTTTAATTTTAACGAATGATGTGTTTCTCTCTTAAAATTATGTCAATCAACTGCGATCTCAATTTGCGTTTACACGCCGATGGGAATGCGTTTCCACCTGCAAACCCGCGCGATTACGCATATATTTTATATATATGTTGTATATTTTTCGACCAAATTAATGTACGAGTAAAAATTGAAAAAGAAATTTTATATAATGTATAGAGCGTAGGTATAACATCGTACATTGGATATCAAAAAAGTGTTCTCTCATTTGCCATTAATTTTAGATCGATTTTTGATCGATTAAACGGATCGATATTTATCTTTTATTGAGACAAACGCGCGAATCGATATTTATCGAAACGAATAATAATAATATAATCGCTCACATAACTGTCGATTGTGGTTCACTCCATAGTGTTCAACGCCAAACATGTCCGATCTATCGATCATGCGCGCAAACAAAAGTGCCACTTTCATCGTGCCGCTATTATGCGGAATGGCGTTGGGACTTTTACTCTGGGGTGCGTTTGGATTTCCCACTCCGGTGCATTATAATACTAAAAGTATTATAGTATAGGTTTGTTTTTCGTTTCTGCACTGCTGAACTGGTGCAATAAGTTAGAGCGAAAAAAAATATACTTGTCTCATTCTAACTTATTGCACCAGTTCAGCAGTGCAGGAACAGAAAATAGACCCAATATGTCACATATTCTGTAGTACTTTTCCGGTTGGAGAATCGGAACGCAGCCCTGAGCAGCGTCTGGAACCAATATTTTTGTGTGGTGTGTGTGTGTGTGTGTGTGTGAGAGGGAGAGGGAGAGAGAGAGAGAGAACTGCCATGATGTGCTCATTTAATTTTGAATTTCGCGTTCTCTTCCCTTCAACTGTAAACACTGCAATGTTGGAACGAGAAAAGAAGATTGCCACTTGAATCGAGTGCAATGCACGTTGCAAAAAGCATTTTAATTCGAAATTTCAATCGTCTTTTAAATGGTTTCTACCGATTGGATTTTATTACATATAACCAAGACTTTACAATTGTTTGCAATTATATACTTGAAGTTATACTTGAAGTTGACACTGTGAAATTATCCTGGCGAATTTCGTCTATGTTTCGTCTACAGTTTTGCCGACCGAGAGTAAAATAAGACGGTCCTGGACACGATATTACCGAACCGCCTAAACATTCCTCTCCAGAGTACAAAACAGCATACTAAAATATGTATTAATCAAACGGATTATTAAGCGAATCTTGATAAGCTCAAGCTCGTCTAATAAATAATTTAACAAAAGCCATTCAACAAAGACAATTCATTCGTTATTCTACTTTATCGAAATGATCCTTATGAATCTGCTTCATGGTAATTTCGCTACCATCATGTCAGACACAAAGCATCTGTATGCAAATGCATATAGATAATATGTATTTATATTATATATAAAATTACTACAAACTACCTGTCCCTTTGTGATTGCTCGTAAAGGTGCGCTAAGCCGGATAAACAGGCTGTCATTTGATGTCTTGTACACGCTGCAAGGGATTAACGGTTTTCTATGCTGAAAGCGAAAGTTACAATGAAACACACCATTGCCGGATCTCAATTCGCACGGTTCTTTATTGATCCAATGAATATCTTGTGTTATCAGGAAATCAGTATACAATGCTGGGTGAGTCGTACCCTCTACCTGTATCACGAGAAAAAAAACGACACGATTAATAAATCTTTTTGTTTTTAATAATATCATTTATTTCTACGTACCACTAAGATGATATTTGTCTCTCGATTTTTTTCAAATACAAAAAAAGGTTTGTATCTACCAGCGATTTTGCATTTTTGTCCTATTGTCAATTTATGAATGCCATTGTGTTTTCCTATCGTCAGTCCACTCTCCAAGTCTATATAGTCACCAGGCTTATCATGTATATACTACCATTACAAGAACATTGTTACTAGAGCTCACTGAAGTCGACGCGCCTAATATATATATATATATATATATATATATATCTTTTACCTCCGAAATAAAATGTTGAAACTCACGTTTTCCCACAAAGCAAATACCCATACTTTCCTTTTTCTGTACTATCCTATGCAAGCCTGCTTCCTTAGCTATTGTCTTTACATGATTTTTCAAGTAATTCCCAAGAGGAAACATACAACATTTTAAAGTTTGTTGCGACACTTGACTCAGGAATAATGTTTGGTCCTTATCTTTATCGTATGCTTGTAACAAGTGTACACCTTTGTGAATAATTATATGTTATGATTGTATTATTGTATTGACACATTCATTTATTGTACAGATTGTAATGTAATATGGAATACTTGCCAATATCTGCTCTATAGTTCTCTAAATATGGTCCAAAACTTGTTTTAGCATAATGACCGGTTGCAATAGCATCAGCTTGAAGCTTATTGCGTGCAAAATGAAAAAATCTATCAAATTTTATGTTTTTGTTGCATAGAACATCTGGATTTGGAGTATACCCAGTCTGATATTTTTCCAGAAGATCGCTGAAATAATTAGAATTGAGTAAAAATTATGAAATATAAACTATTTATTGTATAAATATTATAGAAGGAAAAGAAAAAAAATACCTAAAGACTTCATTCCAGTACTCTTTTACAAAGTCAACTTGTACCAAAGGAATCTTTAGTTTATCACAGACCCACCGAGCGTCTTCATAATCATTTTCAACTGTACACTTTCCTGTTTCGTCTTTAATATCCCAGTTTTTCATAAATGCACCAATAATCTTAAATCCTGATATGAAAACACAAGATACATTTCTAAAAGAAAAAAAAACTACAAGATAAATTTTTTTTATTTCTTTCTTACCTTTATTTTTAAGCAAAAAGGCTGCCACAGCACTATCGACACCACCAGATATCCCCACCACGATATTTCTAATCATCTTGATATTTCATCAAGACACAATGTTCTCTGAATAGTTTATTTTTCTACAACATATTATATAATTATATGTATAATTGGTAAATATGCAGTATAACACTCTCACCTTGGATTTTTTCAAACTTTGTAAATTTGTATATTTTTACACATAAAATTGATTTCTGAAAACGAAAATTGTCGCTTACTTTTCTTATTTTTGTTTTATAATATCGGTAAGTAAGAAAGTGATTTTTAAAAGAAAATTTAATATAAACGAGCGAATTCCTTAATTTTTTTAAATAATTATTAAATTATATTCCCCTATTCCTGTTTCGGTAAATATGAAGTATAATACTCCTACCATTCCTGTTTTTCTTCTTAAACTTAAAAAAGAAAAAATAAATTTTAAAATAAAAATTAATTTTAATTTTTTCATACTTAAAGCAGAGAAAAGCATGTATAAACTATTCTCTGCTTTATAACAGAGTTTATGCTTTTGATTAAAGCAAAGAAAAGCATGATATTAAAATTTATTTTTTCTTTTTTAAGTTTAAGAAGAAATAAGAGTAATTATGAAGAAAAGGGCCAACCTCACCGATTTCGGTAAAATTTGGTAGGGTAATGTATTTTGACGCGTAGAAATCGAGTCTAAAAGCCAAAATCGTCGCTCTACACAGTGAAGCGAGATATTAATTGTTAAAGTTGCACACTATTCAAGGTTAGGAAACTTGTCATATCGACGATGCACTGATATATGAGCATGCGTAGTAACATTTAGTCTGTTCTTTGTAGTTGCAGAGTGTGGGTTTCTAAATAAACAATAAATATAAAAATAAATATAGCCATGTTTAAGGCCCTTGCACAATTCGAGGGAATAGCGAAGTATAAGGTACCTTTAAATAGGTATGAGGTACCTTTAAATAGGAACGTCCGAGCGTCGAGCGTTAAAGCGTTAGCTAATCAACGTATCAGGTCCCAGAAATATACTTGTAGTTCTTGCAGAAAGTGGCACGTTGATTGGCTACCGCTTTAACGCTCGACGTTCGATGCTCCCATGTAAAGGTATTTATAGCTACGTTCCGAAATTCACTGCCAGTACTGAAATTCTATAATACCTAACATAAACTATAAATTTTCTGTACTGACAGTGCATTTCGGAACGTAACCATAGCCATGATGTACTGGGTGCGTTCCGAGTTGCGTATGAAGCGCGTATTTTCTACAGTATACGTGACATAAATTATAGATAAATGCGCGCATATGCATAATGGCTCCTGCACACAGGACGCGGTAATCCTTGCCGCGCGGCGGAAGTTCACGCGACAGCCAATCAATATGCTGCTTTAATAACCTCCTAGCTCTTACGGAAAAACAACATATTGATTGGCTGTCGCAAGTATTACCGTGTCCTGTGTGCAGGAGCCATAAGAATACAAGGGATGCGTTCTTTTATTCGCAACAGATACAACCCGATACATCCGATGTATAATTTAATCGTTCTGTATATCCAGTTGCGCACATGAAGCTGCAGACTGCGTAAATCTTGACCGTTTTTTAATTTAAGTTGCAAGCAGAATCGTGCAACCGCTTGCAACTTTTAGCATCTCAATCCAAGCGGCTGCCGAAAAATTGAAGCCTGAGTTCCGAATGTGCAGGAACCTTAAGTACGAATACGGTTCTTTAGTGTGCAGAAAGTAATACGTTTCTCAGATAACACATAATATTAATGATAAATATTTATTTCGAATTATTTCTTAAAAATATTATATAAATATAATATAAATATTTTATATACATGAAGGAAAAAGTATCAAAATCTTTATTGAAAATATTATTAAAATACAGACTAAATATTTTACACAATATTTATAGTAAACGAAAAATAAATATTTGTAGTAATATTTTGTAAATATACTAAATATTATATTTTATAATATTAATATTATATTTTATAATATTATATTTATAATATATTTTGTAAATATACTAAATATTTTATACAATATTTATAGTAAACGAAAAATAAATATTTGTAGTAATATTTTGTAAATATACCTATTTACAAATGTTATATATGAAAAAAATAAATGTAATTATTTAAAATTATTAAATTAATGAAAAAATAAGAAATTAGAATCTTAGCAATGGTAAGCAAATTTTCAAAATACAATTTAAATTCAATTAAGTAGCGTGTAAAACAATAAAGTGGAAATTTTAAGAAAAATTCAGGAAAAGAGAAAAATGTATATAAATGTACATATTTTAATAAATATTTTTATAATATTTATGAGATAAATATTTTTCATTTATTGAATCTAAAGTCACAAAAATATTTTGTAAATATATTTGTAAATATATTTATGAAACATTTTGGTAAATATACATAAAATATTCAAATAAATCTTATAAATATTTTGTAAATATTTTATAAATATTTTGTGCTATCTGGGTTAATGGATGAAAAGGATAGAGAATAGTAGTAATTGATATAATATGTTCAATAAATGTACAAATATGTGTATTAAATATAGTCGAAATATTACAATCCTAACAAAGAAAGACATAACTGCTATATAACATAGAAGTAACAAGAGTATGTGTTACGTCTATGTTATATAACTAAGTTATATTTTGTGTTTGCTAGTATAATTGTAGTAAAAAATATGGAAAAATTAATTTATTAATGAGTTGTAGATATTGCAAATGTGGAAACTATTGAAGGTTTGTTTGTAATAACAGCATCTGAAATTAACTCTGAGGACTCTTCATCCTCTAATAACTGGTCATGTTCCATATACTAAGGGTGCCGTACCCCGGATCGGATTTCTTACTATAATGAGCGTTCCGTTCTCTAGTTCCGTTCCGTAAAAGTTTCCTCTACCAGTCCCATGTAGCAAAAACGGAACGGATTTCTAGTTATAAAATATATTTCACTCTTCAATTAAATATTTCAGAATATTCATGACAATATTATCGGCAAGATAATTGCATAAATTATGTATATAATTAATTCTGTCGCGTCAAAATAACGAAATATTGACGAATTAATCATATTTATTTGCGACCGACGCACCATTCCGTTCCGTTTTTGCTATATGGGACTGGTAGAGGATACTTTTACGGAACGAAATTAGAGAACGGAACGCTCATTATAGTAAGAAATCCGATCCGGCGTTCCGATCCGTGCTTAATGGGACGGCACCCTAAATCGATTTCAATTAATGACATTTTTTATATTATTTGATATTATTATTAGACTGCCTTTCTCTCTTTCTCTCTCTCTCTCTCTCTCTCTCTCTCTCTTTTTCTCTTTTTTTCTCTCTCACAATTCTTATAAAAGCAATACTGATACTGATTACTGGCAATACATTACTGATTGGGACCCGACGTTGGACATACGACGATCCAATAGCCAATAGGAAAATTTATTTTCTAGGGACAGTACATCACTAGTTAGGAACCTTGAAAAGTGCAATCTTGATGCATCCTTGAAATGCATTTAGCTACATCTGTTGCAAATAAAAGAACGCAATCAAGGTAACCATTCCCGAAGATGCGCAGTGGTTGACCAATCAAAGATTGCCCCCAATTGCCCAGGTTAGGTAAGTATTGTTTCCATATACGGATGGGACCCGATTGACCACGATACGATTGGACACAGATTATAATGATTGGTTCGACCTGGTAATTCATTAGATAATTCTTTTCATCGGTTGGTTGTGTCCAATCGTACCGTGGTCAATCGGGACGCTCCCTCCATATGCTAGAAGTATGTCTTTTGGGCGCAACATTTCATTGGCTGTTACGTATTCGGTCACTATTGGTTGCGTTTAGAGAACCTCTAGTACAGAGAATCGCCAATTAGTCATGTGACCAGCTACTCAGCTACTCTGCGACTGGCTGGCATAACATGTACAGATTTGGATATTGTGACGCCGTTGAAAAACCATATATATATATATATATATATATATATATATATATATATAATATATATATAAATATATATATATATATATATATATATATATATATATATATATATATATATTTTATATATAGCTATGATTGTAATACAGTTACACCGCGTAACGAGACACTAGTGTTATATATATAATTATGTATAATTATATATATAAATTCATATATAATTTTACATAATTACGCATAAATTTATATGTAATTATACATATTGTTATACATAATTGTGTATAATAAATTATATATATAATTTTATATGATTATATATAATTATGTATGGACAAATTTCATACAAAATTTTGCATGAAAAATTTTTCATCGGGGCAAAGAGAGGGAATTGGTGTTAAAATAACTTTTGATATATAAAATTTTCACCTGTATCAATAATAAAATATATTTATGCGAAGTATATTTTATCCTTAAGTTTGTATTCATGTTTCTAAAATCCATATATAGTTCTAACAAACTCAATCGCATTATTTGAAAGCCATTTATTTTTGGATTTTGAATTACATATTTGAAAGTGAGCTTTACTTACATTTGAAGCTCAGTTAGAACAGTATATATAACAGTATAACAGTTATAACAGTTATAATAGTACAGTATCCAGCGAAAAATGATTCGTTGATTGACGTCAAAATGACATCAAATAGACGTTGAAATCGTTAAACCGACGTCAATTTGATATCATATTGACGTCAATCAACGAATCATTTTTCACTAGGTATATAGATGTCACAAAAATGAAGTCTTAAATAGCTCAGTGGAAAGAGCGATTGTCTAGCAAGCGGAAGACCCGAGTTAGATCCCAGCCGAGTCTGATGTTTTTCATCTCATATGACATTAAAAGTGGACATCTACAGATACACACAAGAGCAGCGCATTCCCAGCCAAAGTTTCTCTGATCTTTCTTTCGTGTGAATACAATAAAATTTATTAAATCCGAGGAAATCTTTTTAAATTGAAGTAATTCTATGTGAATACTCTAAAAAGTTCTGAGGAACTCCAATCATGCATGTTAACTTCTTAAATCATTCTTATAGTATTCTTCCACGAATTCCTAAGGAAGTACAATTCAGGAAAAGAGAAAACTTTAGGAACACTTAAAGAATTCATCGTGCTATCTGGGCTATGTTCAGAAATCCTACTCGATGAGTAGAATTACTTTAATAAACCAATCATAATAAATAAATCTTAGTTC